CAGAAAGTGTGTTTTAAAAACTAGGACAAGGCAGGATTGGTGATACACTGCAGTTTCCACTATTGAAACAACTCTGGTAAAAAGGCAGACAGGATGTGGCTAGGTCTGGGGGACAAGTCTGCACTGCCTCTAATATTTTCAGGGAGATGGGAGAGGTACATATTTGGGGAAATAAAACAACTTTCTGGATCTTAATTTAAATGCCAGCCCTGAAAAAAAATCACCTGTTGGGCACAGCCACACTAGGCTCTTTCCACCAATAAATCTTCCACGGGCCAAATTTAGGTTTTCACAGACACTTATTCAGCCATGAGTTACAAATTCTGACCCCCTCGAACACATGTGAAAACCCTTTGCTGTATGTTGCTTTGAACTAGGGTACCTAATGCAACACTATAATGGTGCTGATGAAAGATAAGGAAAGATTGAAAAACAATTATGATTGTTCAATCTGGAGGAGAAAAGACTGAATGGGGGACATTATAGCAGTCTTCAAATACACAAAAGGTTGTTACCAAGGGGAGGGTGAACAACTGTTTTCCTAATTTCTGAGGGTAGGAGAAGAAGCAATGGAGGTTGCAGCAAGGGAGGTTTAGATAGACTTCTTGTCAAGGTAGTTAAGTTCTGACAAAACTGCTGGGGGACGGGGGAAACAGTTGTGAATCTCTATTGTTATCCTGTTCTTAAAAACCTCAACACACCTGCCAGGAATTGTCTAGTTATTATATAGTCCTACCTTGAGTGCAGTGACTGGACTAGATGACCTATTGAGTTTCCTTCCTGTCCTACACTTCTACGATTCTATGCACAAGATGGAAAGAACCCAGCTCATTTCATCTTAGCTATGTTAGTTGTTCTAAAATGCAAAATAGGCTTGTTTATAATGTCTAACATCAGCAACCATGATTTAACACACAGAAATGGCAAATCTATCAACAATATATCCATTTAAAAAAAATTAATTTCCTTTGGCAGTTTGAAGCACTGAATCCATAATGAATTCTGAAAACCAGCCCTTGTTAAGTCTCAGGTATTGAAATGCACAAGTATGTTCTCTCATTCAGCTGCTGATTCCCAGACACATTTCTAACTGTTTTGGGGCAAATGAGATAAGAACATCTTGAAAAACAAAAACAGATTCCCTCCTTTCTTTTCTATCCCTCTGTTTTAAAGCTCTTGCACCTCATTTTCTGCTGGTTCTATGGACTGTTTCTGTGTAAACATTAGTAGAGGCTGGAACTGAAAAAAATCAGCAGTTGAATTAGTAAGAGCTTTTGCTGCCCCATTGGTGGCTTTGTCAAGGTAATTTCCATGGAAACAGATGTTGAAAATAAACACCTTGAAATATTTATATGGAAACTTCTCCTTAATGTTTTCTCTTTCTGATTCTAGTTTTGTGAGAAACTGGCCTAGCAAATGCTGCTGCTATTAGGCGTCCCTGTGGAAAATCAGTGTAGCCTCCTTTTTCTCCAGTGGAGTAATACTGGTGACTTACATACTGGCATCATTTGCACAAAAACCAAACCTGCCCTGAGGCCAGGCTTACATCAAGAATGGCCTTTTCTTATCTTTCTAATGAACTAAGCATTTAAGTACATGCTTAAGTTTTAGCATGTGAGTCGTCCCACTGACTTCAGTGTGACTATTCAGGTGCATAGATGCCTTGTTAGATCTGGAGCAAACTGCAGCACGGACAGACATCCAGTTCCCTCTTTATCCCCATTGCAGTCTTCCCTTGCCTTTGATGGTTTCCAAATCTACTCCCATTTTCAGTTTTCTCCATCTATTGTTGTCCTTCCCATACACACAGCACCCGATACCTTTCCCACATCACTTTTCATGCAAGCACATCCAATATTTAGCTTTTGAAAGCTGTGTATATCGAAATACAGATATTAACTGTACTGACCTGCAAGCAGAACAGCAAAACACTGAAGAGTCTTGATTCGTTCCATGATTCAATAGGTAGAATTTGTTGCACGCAGCATGTCGGCATTTTATAATGGGCAACCCGCTGGCAGCCACACTGGCATATCTGTAATTTGAGATACTGCAAACATTTTCCAAACAAACATAAGATTAAACAAAATACATGCTCTTCTACACATGTAAAGTAAAGTCTATCTACTACTGGATAAAGATACAGACGGTAAACAAGTTGGTAACTAAAAATTAAAAGTAAACTAAAATTAAAATTCCTTAAAATGATGAAGGTGGAAGCTTTCTTCTAGTTTGCCAGACAGAAGACATCAGAAATCAGGCAGGACCAGTGGGGTTTCATGGCTCTGCCCCCTGTATCTCCTCACCAACTGAGGGGAAACAGTCAAATAACATGAAGATGATCTATGGTAGTCAACTGGGCCTTCTTGTAGTTAGCTTTTTGCAGATTTCACAACTATATAAATCTCACCAATCCAACCCCCCAACTGTGTACTGGAATTAGAACCCTGAACTTTTTCATTGTCGAAAGCCACAGATCTCTAGTACAATTTAAGCTACAGATGAACTCCTGCATCTTACGATATCAGTACCAGGTGCCTTCTCCTTACTGTGGAGTAGACACTAGAGGGCACACTCACTTACACATTTATAACTGCCACCATAAGAAGGTGTGATATGGTCCTAAGTCTTTTCATCATGTATACCTTTTTTGCATTGCCACTGTCACAAATGTGTCCTAAATCTTTTGGTAGTCAGAATGAGTTCTTAAAACTCCCAGTGTTAGTGATGCTTCCCAAATATCTGAACATAACCAGTAAACAATGCTTCTACCTTGGAAGTCTCAATCTGTGTAAATTAAGCTTCAAGAGGTAGCCGAGATTTTTATGTACAGAAAAAACAACAACAAATTGTCTGGTAGCACTTTATAGACTAACAAAACATGTAGATGGTATCATGAGCTTTCGTAGGCACAGCCCACTTCTTCAGATGACCGGAGTTATGAGTTTAGGATGTGAAGACTCATAATAAATAAGGGAGGGAAAGGAGAGGGAGGAGGGGGGAAAAAGGGGGGTGGGAGTCAAGGAGTTGGAGGAAATCAGTAAGTATCTGAAGATTGGGTAGTTAAAAGGAAGCAGATAAGAATCAAAAGTCAATTGATAGTATCCTTCCTGACATAGAAGCCCCTTCTATTTATTTTCGGTCTGCATATCCTAAACTCATAACTCCGGTCATCTGAAGAAGTGGGCTGTGCCCACGAAAGCTCATGATACCATCTACATATTTTGTTAGTCTATAAAGTGCTACCAGACCATGTGTAAAATAAGATGGTTAAGTGAGAAGATGTATGAATTTTCATCTTCTTTTCAAATTGATTTAACATGAAGTGAAATTCATTTAACTCATATTAACAAAACTTCAAGGCTTTTGTCCATTTTGATGTCCTGATGTGTAGTGTCTAGAATTTAGATTGTGAGCGCTCAGGGTGGGGAAAAACTGCTTTGTTACAAGTTAGTATTGTACCTAGCAAATTAGAGCCCAACTCCTTGATGCGGTTCCTAGGTGCTACTATAAGATACATAATAAATAATAATGGGCATTTAGAACAAAAAAGCAGTGTAGAAGTAGTACGTATGGCGTATTTTACTTATCAGATTGTTTTATTGCATTACAAAAGTACAACTGCACATTTCATGTAAAATTTTTGGCCTCAGCAAGAGTACTCTAATAATGTATTCTTAATAGGCAGAATGGTAAAAAAAATGCTCAGAGAAATAATTCACATTCACATGTTTATTGAAGCATCACCTACATAAGCTACAATTTACAGGCTAATAATTTCTGTCAAAAAACAAAATTCAAAATACTGTTTTGAATCTACATACATTTTTAAACTTGCAGAATTTACAAATTAATATTTGGAGCAGCTGGATAAACTATACATCCTCTTTCAATATTCACACTCTGCAGCATTTTAAAATGAATATAGGCACAAGATAAGATATTCTCTTTTTACAATCCATCTATTTACATAGCTTTTCCAATGCCGGTGGTACAGTTCTCATAATCACTGCCAAGGTTCGCAAAACACAGTGTATCTGAAATATTTTTAGCAGCATATAAAATTAGATAAAAATGAAGGACAATTTGCCATTAAAAAACAAAATGTGAGATGATAAAAACAAATCCATGAGAAAAATAGATTAAGATAGACTTCTATTATGACATTAAGAATACTGTGGATTACAGAATATAGGCAAAGCACTAATAAAACAACCATTTAACAGCAATTTAGTTCTAGTCCTGAGCACAGAGTATACACAGCTACACAACTTTGGTCAAAAAGAGTATACGCTAACATTAACATAAATCATATGGCATTCATTCTTAGCCAGAAACTGTTGTAGCAATAATAAGTCACATTAACAACTTTTTCAGATTTTTTATTCAGTCTGCTGTCATAACTTCAATACGGATAGCTTTTATACCCTCAATATAGATAACCTATTATGATCTCAAATGAAGAACTAGTTTAATTAAAGGCTTAGTATGGATGCATCCTTTTTATGTTATTCCAAAATACAAATCAGCTCATCAGAATGTCTGGGAGAATGAAGTATAATAGGGTATTTTATTTTGTATTCCAGGTTACAAGTTTGAGACGGTTATTATAGCAGAATATTTTCCAATTTGTTTAAAATACAAGTGTTATATATGCACACAAATCCAGTCAACAGATACTCAAGAATATTACCAAAAGGCTATTTTTTTTAATATAGTATACAGGGTAACTGTTCTAATGTATCAATTCTATTTGAAAACATATTTGCCAGTTGGGTTCAGCTGCATTTTCCAGTTCATTCCAGTTGCCAGTGTTTACACAGTAAATGCACAGCAAAGTGTACCAACAATACACAGCTTTTTATCACAGTATTAATTTGTACCTGTCTTTTCAATTCATGTTTAATTACTGGCAATATCTTCATTTGCATCTCCAGTGTCAGAAAGGTGTCCATCTAGAATGCTGTGAGCTTTCCAGATCTTCACAGTTCGATCACTGTAAAACATGTGTTTTATAAACAGAAAAAGTGAGCAAAAGAGGAAAAAAAACAAGTTTATGGAAACATTTAGCACGTTAGTTTTTCAAGTTAGTTTTAAATATATATTTCTGTCCTAGACATTTCCCGATCTTGATGTAAGCCTGGCTTCAGGACAGGTTTGGTTTTTGTTTGAAGACTGATCTTACCTTAACGCAAGTATTTTGTACAGGGGAATATTTTGCTAGTGATATAAGGCTACATTATCACAATATGGTCTAACCACACAACTTCTGAATTAGAGTCATTTGTCATCAGCATAAAATTCTTAATTTCAGGTATACCAACAGGGTTTTCCAACTTCTTCACAGCATGGACAATCTTCTCTTCCACTCATATTGTTACTACTACTACTATTATTATTATTTATGTTACCTTAACACATAGGCGTTCTAGTTGTGGACTAGGGCTATATTGTGCTAATGCTGTATAAACATAAATGTCACACTACACCACTGTTGTAACTATGGAAACTTCTAACATAGCAAAGTAGCATTGGAATTGTATTTCCATTCTAATCAGAAGTCTTAATTAAAAGTAGTTGCTGGAAACTGGAAGATATGAACATTCAGATCTCTACAGACTGGAGCAAGAATACCTATATAACAAACAGATTAATAAGCAGATTTCAACAAATCAGTGAATCTACTCGCCCATGGCGAGTAGATTTCAGCTGGTCGCCCCATTCACCGGCGGGTCTTGTGCATGCGCAGTGCGGGGCTGGCGAGCAGATTTTGCCGCTGTTTGTCAAGCCCTGTTAATAAGAGCAGGCTGAATCCTGCCTTTATAAGAACACTCAAGTTTGTAAAAAATGTCCATAGGTGGAGATGAAAGGCTGCAACCTGCTGAGGTTGACAGAAACAAAATGGGCTCAGCCTACACTGAACAGAAGTCAGGCTGTTTTAAAAGGGCAGGGTAGGGAGTGAAGGCCAGGAGAAAACAGGAAGAACCATATGGTAAGAATGTGCTTAGCACAACTAAAGGCAGAGATGCTTTGGTTAGGCAGCACAAAAAGAAGGATGCTATTAAATCTGAATTACCAGGGTGAGGAAGGGAACTTACCTGAATGTTACCAAGGGGAACAGGAAGTGGTGGGACCAGAGAGGGGCAGTGATGTATCATATGCATCGTGAGAGAGGGAGAATATTTATTCCCCTACATTTTACAAGGATTTATCTCAGTAACCAATCAGCAGTGCCCCTCTCCCACCATGGGATAAGAGGAAAACAGATTTAGGTTCTGCCATGGGTTTGTGCATGTCACTTTTTTTCTTTCCCTCATTGCCAGACTGACAGAGGCCGGATGGGTGTTTTTGCCTTTCCCACAGCATGTCAGAGACCTGGTGAAGTAGGTAAGGAGATTAGATCAAGTTGCTGGCGGCAGGTATCCAGGGCAGGTGCTTGTTACAGACGGGATGCAGTTCCCTGATAAACAGGACTAAAAGTGAGTTTAGAGGGGAGCCATCAAGAGAAGCTGTGTTTAAAATCTGGTGCAGCAGGGAGAGATAACTCTCCCTCTTTTCCTTCATATGAGGGGAGAGCCATGAATTCCCAGCAATGAGCTGACTGGGACCAAGTCAGGAAGAGGGAAGGACAAAGACAGCCCTCCCAAATATGGTAACCTGCCACATATTCCTAGATATGCTAAATGAATAATGTTGTGGCCCATTTAAACTATATACATTGTATCATGTCTTCCTTTCTGTTTGGCTAGGACAAAAGCTCCCATTTCAGTGCCCAAATCTAAGCTAATCAAATGCAGGATGTTTCAGCCAAAATAATGAGATGCTCAGTCACCTAGGATAGGAAAGGGACCTAAATCTGGAGCTGTATACCATAAACCTTATGGAGGAGACTTCTTGTAAAGCTATTCAGGATTTTTTTTAATGTTTTCCCTTTCAATGTGTGCAATACATGTTAAATAACATATAGGTAATTTCACCTTTTGGAAAAATGAAAAGATCTGAATTGTTAATATCCATATAATCTATGAAAATGTATTAATACAGTTATAAGCCTGATGTAAATAATGATCATATTTTCTCTTTCCTATTTGACTGAATAATTGTTTGCTTACCTCATACACTGTATCTTAGGTATATAGACATTTCTTATTCTGTCCTTCTAAAAGGGTTGTGTCAGATGACAAGGTTCAAACTCTGGAATTCCTTCCCTCCCTTGACCTGAAATAGCCCAGGTTTGATAATCTTTTGGGCATGCTACACATGTTTGAGTGGGCTCTTGCAAAAAGCTAAGGCTTTGCTTCTACAGCAATGAAGAATGGAGTTTCTATATGGCTCCCTAAATTCCTATTCCAATTATTAACACTACCAGGACTTCACTGCATTATTAATGAGGCATAAGGGTACCTAGAGCCTAGAATAGGCTTATATTTAATTATTTTAAAATCTAAATAAACACACACACACACACACCAGGTTTACATACAATATAAATTTCAAAATGTACATGACCAACATTTGCAAACAAAGACAATGAGACACCTGCACCCATATTTAGGCACCAAAATATAAGGCTATGTCTAACTATGCAAATGAGGCAAAGCATGGAATATCGCCATGCCTCATTTGCATAATTAATGAGGCTTCACTTTTGCACAAGAGGCTTTAGCGCAAAAGGAGCTGCATTTTTTTCCGGAAGAACGGCTCTTGTGCAAAAGCCTCTTGTGCGAAAACGGAGCCTCATTAATTATGCAAATATTCCACGTTTTGCCTCATTTGCATATTTCTTGTGCCAGATGGGCACAGTATAGATATAGCCAAAGAGACCTGATTTTCATAAAGGTAGAGCACTGGCAGTTCCCAATCAATGCGTTGTGGTAGCTCAGTATTTCTTGAAGTTGAATGCCTAAAAAAATAACATCCAAATTTAACAATTTTGGCCTGAGACAGCCCTGTGCTCATTTTAGTTGCTGTCTGCCTAGGCTTGACAGTAGTACAGATGCCCGCATTTTCTTTAGCATTACATACTTTTCTTGTTTCTGGTGTCTCTGGGGGTATGTCTACACTACAAAGTTAATTTGAACTAATGGACGTTAGTTCGAATTAACTTTGATAGGCGCTACACTAGCGCTCCGCTAGTTCAAACTTAATTCGAACTAAAGGAGCGCTTAGTTCGAACTAGGTAAACCTCATTGTACGAGGACTAAGCCTAGTTCGAACTTACTAGTTCAAATTAAGGGCTGTGTAGCCCCTTAATTCGAACTAGTGGGAGGCTAGCCCTCCCCAGCTTTTCCTGGTGGCCACTCTGGCCAACACCAGGGAAACTCTATTGCCCCCCTCCCGGCCCCAGATCCTTAAAGGGGCACGGGCTGGCTATGATGCCCGTGCCAGGTGCAAGCCTGCCAGCACCCAGCCAGCAGACCCCGG